ATATATATATATATATATATATATATGCTCACTGACGCTTCGCGACCAAAAGGAATAAAATGTCTGCATTGTGTTGCAGAATAAAAATAAAATTTGATTTTTATTTATTTAAATGTAAATATAAAATTATTTTCTGTATTTCTTCTTTCTCCTCTTTGTTTTGCTGCTGCTCATTGACGTGGAGAGGGTTTGATATTAATAATTTATATATTCTCAATTACATATTTATCCAAATATATTTGCTGCTTTGATTAAATAACTAGTTAATTAATTACGAATTAATTGAATAATAAATTAATTTATTATTTTTATAATAATTCTTACCTCTTCCCCTGTTATTCTTTTAAACTCTCGGGCTTTGCAATGAGTTTAGAGCTGATCGTCCTAAAAAACATTTGAAATAAATGATTATTATTATTTTAATTATAATTTGTTTTATTTTTATTTATGAAAATAACAAAAAAATATCAATATTAACTTTCTTTCGTTTGCTACTCTCTTCTGGCTTTGATTGCTATTATATCGAGTGAGAGGTTTTCTCGCCTAAAACAAACAGAGATTAAAAGAAAGAATTAAATTAATATATTTAAATATATTTTATTTTAATATTTTAATTTATTTTTAGAATTATATCTTCTAAAGTATACTTCAATAACTGCAGTCTTCCGCTGGGGGGCCCCACCCTTCCTTCCTGCGGTCGTTGTATGCGGTAGGGTATAGCGTCATTTTTTGGTGTTTTTCTGCGTATAAAAAGTAAAAAATAATGTTTTTTCATGAAAACGAAGGAAAAATAAGTCTTATTTTTGAAAAATCGAAGGAAAATGAAGCTTTTAGGTGCCTGTAACCCTTTGCTTGATGTAGTGGCTGATGTACCGTCTTCATTGCTAGATGAGTACGATCTTCCGCACGGAGGCGCTGTCTTAGCTAATGAAAAACAATTAAAATTATTTCCTAAATTAGAAAAAGAATTTAAATGCAAATATCTTCCAGGAGGATGCGGCCAGAATACAATACGCGTCTTTCAAGCACTCAGTCGAAAGGTAAACGCAAGACCTCAGCATACACCTCAAATTATAATATAAATAGATAAATAAATATATAAATAAATGTATATATATATGTATATCAAACCCTAGACCACAGACCCTTAAATATATTTAACGCTAAGCCCTAAAGCCTTACAGCCCAAACCCTAAAATATTAAACCCTAAACCCTAAAGTATTAAACCCTAGACCCTTAAACCCTAAACCCTAAAACCCTAAACCCTCAAGTATTAAATCCTAGAGCATTAAACCCTAACCCCACAAACCCAAAACCCAAAACCCTAAACCCTAAACCCTAAACCCTAAAGGAGTTTTAAACTCAACAACAAAAGAATACACAATAAGTTGTGAGCGAAGCTGACTTAGTCTATACTTTTCTTTTTTTGTGTTTCTTCTTTATTACAAAGTGTTGTATTTGTTTATTATTCATTAAATATTTTCACGTATTTATTTATATATTTATTTAATACTTGTCTATTGCTTTCTCTTTTATTTCTTTTTGTTTAATACCGCTAGAAGCATGTAATGTCTATTTGTTTATCTTTATATTTTATCTTTAATTTGTTTATTTTATAATTTTTTTCTTCGTTTTTCTTTGACTTTGTTTGTTGCAGCCCGGAACAACAAAATTTTTAGGGTGTATTGGGAGAGATAAAGAAGGAGAGCAATTAAGAGAGCTTCTGATATCTCAAGGTAATGTTATTATTAATATTATTATTATTATTTGTTTATTTAATTCTTTTATTTAGTATGAATATTGTTTATTTATTTATTTATTTGTCTTGTTTAACAGAGACAGACAGGAATAATAATAGTATATCAAAAATGTTTTAAATGTTTAATGTTTGCTGCATATATGATTATGTATACATAGTTCTTGTTTCTGTTGTTTGTTTATTTATTATTATTATTATTATTTATTTGTTTATTTATTATTATTCTTCAGACGTTTAGTTGTGCAAGCATGTATGCATGCAGAGCAATTAATATATATTCTGTTTATTATTTCTTCTTTTGTTCTTCAATTTTTTTTAATTTGTTCTAGGGCTTTACACATACAGAGTCTATAAAATATATATATATATATATATATATTTATAAGATAATATATGTAATATATATATTATAAACTACACCTTAAAGCAAGTATAATACATATTTGTTTTGTTTTTTTTTCTTGTATAATTTATCTGCAGGTATAAAGCCGATATATAAAGTTAGTGACACAAAGCATACAGGAACGTGCATGGTGCTTGTAACAGATAAAGAAAGATGTGTCTGCACACACTTAGGAGCTTCTGTAGATATTGATGAAGACTTCTTACAGCAGCATTGGGTTGAAGTTGAAGAATGCACTGCAGTCTACTGCACTGCTTTTCTTCTCTCTTCTTCTTCTCAAGTCAGCTCAAAAATAAATATATATATAATATGTAAATATGTATATATATATGTATTACCTATAAATACACATATATATTTGCCTATATATATATATATATATATATGTACATATACGCATAGATAAATATATATATTTATATACTTGAGGAAGCAACATTTAAACATTTTATATTTACATATGTTTATACATATATATATACATGCATATATATATATATATATTGATATTTATATTTATTTATATCTATTTTTATGATATGGGTTTCTCTCTGTTCTTCTTTGCTTTTCCGTTGTTTAATGCAGCAATTCATGTTTATACAATTTGTTAAACTTTTTTGTATTCTTTTTAGTTTTTTTTCTTAATTGCATTGAATAATATTTAAATTAAATAAAAAAGTGTTTAAAATTGTCTGAAAGAGTATATAATACTCTTATTTTATGTTTGTTTGGATGCAGGTGCTGCTACGACTATCTCAGCACTGTGCAGAAACAGGAAAGATATTTTGCTGCAATTTATCAGCAGAGTTTTTGATGAAAGAATATAAAAAAGAATATTTAGAAATGCTAAAAAACGCAAATATTGCATGCGGAAACAAAGACGAAGCCCTGCAATTTGCGTCCGTTCACAGCTTAGACTCGACGGGTAGCCTTGGAGATGTTGCGGCGCAGATATTAGATATAATGCTTACTAAAGAAACAGATAAAGATAAAGATAATGATAAAAATAATGATAAAGAAGAAGATAAAGATAAAGAGAAAGAAGAAAATACTCAAAAATACAAAGAATTAAAAATTGCTGTCATCACACAAGGAGAAGATCCCGTCGTTGTTGCATGCCGCATGTAGGGCTTAAATAAATAAATAAATAAATAAATAAATAAATAAACAAATAAATAAACTAATTAATTAATTAATGTATTAATTAATATATTGTATGTGTAATGGATATTGTATATTTTTTATTATATATTATTTACATTGTATATATTGTCTATGATAGATTATATGTGTTATATTATTATATATATATTATACATTATAAATAATAGATCTAATATATATAATACATAATGCATCATATATTAAATAATATAATATAATATCTGCAGCTCACTTAAATATTATATGTATATATATATATATGTATATCTATATTTTTATTTTTGTAGTGTTTGTTTGCTCTCTCTTTGTATTCAGCCTCTTGATTATAATTGATAAGAGTATATATTGTCGTTGTATATCTATAAAACTTTATTTATTATTACTTTATATGGTTCTCTTGCTTTGTTTTAAAATATATATTCAAGGGGCTGTATTTAAATATATCTTCTCTGTATTTATTGTTTATCTTTGTTTGTTTCTTATGTCTGTGAGCGTCTCTCTTTTTATATTTGCATTTGTTTATTTTAACTGTTTGTTTTTCTTTGTATATTTGTTTGTATTTCTTCTTTTTCTCTCGCTGCACTGTCTGTGAAACTCTTTATTTATTATATGTTTTGTTTGTTTTATTATCTCTTCGTTAGTTTTATTATTTACTTATATGTTTTATTATCTATGTACTTATTTTATTATCTATTTATTTGTTATCTATTCATATTTCTCTGTACCTATCCTATATCTGCATTCATATAAACTGTTTGTCTTTGCCTTACTAGACAAAAATATACATATATATATATACACATAATATATATATATATATATTTATTTGTTTATTTATTTATATATTTATTTATTTATATTCTTTTTGCTGCTGCAGGCCTTGCGGAAGCATCTCTATAATGTCTTTTCCTGTACCTGCACTGACACCTGAAAAAATAATAGATTTAAACGGCGCTGGCGATGCATTTATAGGAGGGTTTTTGTTCGGGGTATTGCAGAAAAATAAAGAAATAAATATGCAAAGTATTGAAGAAAGCGTTAAAATTGCTAATTGGTGTTCATCTGTTGTTATTCAACAAAGCGGTTTTCAGTTTACAGCAGAAGGCTGTCCTTATATTTAAATAATTCTTTATAACTCTTTTTTTTAACTTTATTTCTCTCTTTTATTCTCTTTCTACTTATTAAATATAGTCTTTGTCTTGATGATGTTGCTCAGCTGTATATACAGCTCTCTGGATTTGTTTCATATAAGATAATTTGTATTGACACATACAAACTCTTTTAAATAGATATATACTTATATATAAATGTATATTTATATCTAAACTTATCTTTATCAGTGCAGCATAAAACAAAAACAAATACAGAAACAACAAACAAACAAAAAACGAGAGCCCTTCACACCGAACAATATATATATGTATATATATATATATATATATACATGCACTTGCATATAATATATATATATATATACGTGTGTGCATGTATATAAAACAATTTTTATTATTATATC